GGGGAAGGATTGCATGGAGGGGATTGTAACCATGGCAATGAGACGATATACATAGAATGAATGTAAAACTAATGTTCTCCCATGTAAACTATCACATAAATCACAAAAAAAATTTTTTAAAAATTGTACTTTGTCTTCTCCAGATCCCTTTGAGATCTTCTGTTTAGTTATTTGACTTTATCATTTCCTCCTTTTATTTTAGCTTCTCTAAGTCTAGAGCAAGTTTCAGAGTCTCTTCTGACCTACATTTTGGTATTTTGTTTCTTATTTATCTTTTTAATGAATTTGGTTTCTTGATGTTTGATGTTCTTGATGTCATTACACAATTCTTCTGGTTTCGGTCATTAATGTGCAATGTATCAAATCTATTTTTGAGAGGGTCTCTAAATTCTGATGGGATATACTCAAGATCATATTTTGGCTCTCATGGATGTGAGTTAATTTTCTTTAGCTCCAATTTGATCTTGCACATGAGCATATGAGCAATTGATGATCTATTCCACAGTCCACTCCTGGTCTTGTTCTGACTGATGGTAATGAGTTTCTCTATCATTTTGTTCCATACATGTGGTCATTTTCATTCCTGCGTATTCCATCTGGTAAATTCTATATGTATAGTCACCATTTATGTTGTTGAAAATATATTTGCAATGAATAAGTTATTGGTCTTGCAAATTCTATAATATGTCATTGATCACCAAAGCCATACATTATAAGTACTGATCTTCTTGTTTCCAACATTTGCATTCCAATCACCAGTAGTTATCAGTGAATCTTGACTACATATTTGCTCAGTATCAGACTTCAGAAGTGTGTAAAAATCTTCAGTTTTCTCACCTTTGGCATTACTGGTTGGAGCATAAATTTGTGAATAATAGTCATATCAACTGGCCTTCCTTTTAGGTATAATTCAAGATAAATCTTGAAATGTTCTTTTTAAAATGAGTATGATGCCATTCCTTTTCAATTTTTTGTTCCCTGCATAGTAGACCATATGATTGACTGAGTTGAAAGGGCCAATACCAGTTCATTCAACTCACTAATGCCTAGAATGTTGGTCTTTATGCATTTTATTTCATTTTTTTATGACTTCCAGCTTCCTAGATTCATACTTTGTACATTCCATGTTTTGCTTATTAATGGATGTTACAGCTGTTTCTTCTCATTTGAGTCATACAAGCCAACACTGTATAACAAACTCACAGACAAGGGATGGTGGTTATTTATAGAAATAAATAAATGGCATATCTCTTGTACATGTGGTGTGTAAATGTGTGATCACCATTCCCAATTTATAGGTTTATTCACCTATACTGGCACTTATATCTTTGTTGATATGCTTGATGGAAGCAAGGTCACATACAATGATCAAAGTGACCTACATAACCCCTTAGAGCAATGCGAGCTTATTTTCTGTTTGTGTTTCCAAAGATATTTAGTGGATAACTAACCATATTTTTTATGTCATAATTGCTGAGGATTACCAAAGAAGAAACAAGAAAGAGAGAAAAGAAAACAGACATTTCATTTTGAAACTAATGCATACTTTGCTATGGATCTTAATACATTCATGACTTCATTTCAGGAATCCTGGTGTGGTGCTACTGGGTTAGGAATATACTTCAAACCACAAGATAAGCAGTTCAAATTCACCAACTACTCCTCAGATTCTCTAAACAGGATTTCTATGAGTAAGAACCAACTCGGTGGCCCTTAACAAAAACAATGCCTCAAGTACTTTGCTATGGATTTAAATACACTTATTAATTTCATAGCAAATTTTAGGTTACAAATTAGTGTTCCAATTATTTTTAGAGGGTCAAAGAGACCCTTCCTCAAATATATAAATATCATATTGTTATTGTTCTTAAGTGCCATGGAGCTGATTATGACTTATAGCAATGCTGTAAAGGGTTTCCAAGGAGCAGCAGGTGGGTTTGAACCACCAACTTTGTGGTTAGTAGTCCAGTACTTACCCTATAGCACTATACCAGGACTCCATATAAATATTACAAAGACCCTTCACTAAATCATAAACAGAAGTAAAAATAAGACAAAACAAATATAGATCACTCAGGTGAGGGAGACTATCAATATGATGCCACGACGAATTCCAAAGTTCTACCTCAACATGGTGATCTGTTATAAGACACAGAGAATAAAGGAATCTCCTACCACAACCAGGACTGACTGACAGCAGCAAGGCATCACAGATGCATACTTGACCTACAGATGCAGGGAGGGGATGGTTGTAAATAGGAAAGCTTACAGGCTGTGTTGGAGACTCCCGGGGTATGAGGCCACAACCAGGTGACCCTGCAACCATTAAAGCCCTTGAAAGTGACTTCCTGTTCTCTTTGTGCTGTCTGGAGAACATGACCCCAAACTGACATTTCAAATATACTGCTTTTAACTTTGCCAGTTTGGAAGTCAGAGTTCAGAGGAACTCAAGAAAAATTGACATCTGAACACTTAAACCTAGGTACAAGATGGAACTAAGCTCTGCCTGACTGGAGTCATCTTAGGCAAAAAGCCTTCAGATTCCAAGCTCTGAAATACAATTTTATAAATAGTGGATATCAGACATTTGTTAAGTGTACACTATAAACCGATCATATGAAAATGCTGATTCTAGTGGTGTTTGTCCTTACAACACAAAAGGATATGTAAGATATACATGAAAATACTTAAGACTTCAATTCAGCCATAAAGGTACACAAGAGGATGAGCACTAGACTGCCAGGCCAACCCACCAGCATCTCCTAAAAAACCCTATAAATCAGAACTAACTCCATGGCACTTAAAAACAATAAAGTAAAAGAAGATAAACTCATTATTCCTCATTATTTGCAGTGATCCTCAAGGTTTACAAATAAATCTCTGGGGAAAACTGCAAGACTCTCTAAGTGGGCTCCTCACATTTGGTTCCCAGATTTCCTTGCTCCCTTGATCACCCTTCTCTGTCTCTCATGATCCATATCCTTGACATGGGACAGAAACATCCAGAAGCAGGGAAATGGAATGTTACATAGGCATAGAATGCACACAATACTAACAGGTCCGCTTAATAGCCTTTACCATACCCCTGTGCCCACCCCTACTAGAGGGTTGATATGATCTCAAAATCAGAGGCAAACTCAATTAAATGCTTACTTTTTAAATGACTAAAAATAAACATAATCCTTACTAAAATCTTTCAAAGAGGTGTCAAGGTGTTGATTACATTTTGTGCACCTAAATGACCTGCAAACTATCTATCCACTCTCCAAATTCAACTGTGAAAACTTGGGTGTTTCTTTGGCCATTCTGGCCCATTTAAAGCCTCCACAGCCCATTTAAAGCCTCTCCCACAGTCTCTTTCACTTTTCAGAGTTTCTCCACCTATTATTTTCCTGCCTGATTTGCTTCCCATCTTTCCTTCGTAAACAATTCTAACTTCTTTTGGTTTCCCCTTTTGCAATATTCACTCTTTACCCATAATGAGTCCAATCTCAAACTCTGAGCTCATTAGGCAAATACAGAAATAGCCTAAGAGTAGAGATCATGGCTGTACACAATTAGATACTACATTTTTGCTTCTGTTACACATACACATATATAGAATTGTTTTATATTTTCACTCCAGCCCAGGAATCCATCTACAAAGATTTAGGGGTATTTGGACCCCAAATTCAGAAAACTGCTCTAAAGCACCTATTCCTTCAGTAACCAGCAGAACATGGGGAACAAAAGACCAATATATGTCGATCAGGAAGAAACAGGAAAACCAAAACCAGAACCCAAAAGATAGGATTCTCAAGGTCAGAGGATCCAGAACCAAGGACTCCTGAAGGAAAACCTGACTTCTAATATGACTGGTCTCCTTTTCGAAATCTGAAGACCTGCCATGCTGGATCTACACAGTCATCACCTGACTGCTCCTTCCTGACAACTAAGCTCTCCATTGTCACTGAGAGCAAAAACATCTATGTTTCAGAGGATACTGCTAACCCCAATATTGGCCTGCAGTAAAAAATGACCCGGATAATAGGAAGAATCACTGCAGTATTAGGATAAAGGCTACAAACATGACAAGAAGTGCAGGGATGCCAGTCTTATCCTGGTATAGGGATCACTAGTAGAGTAGGGAACGGGCTAAAGACAGAAGCCCCTGCAGATGTGGGAAGCAAGGCCACAAACAGTTAAGAGTCACTTACCTGCATACAGCTGGGCCTTTCTCCAGTCTGAAAGGGAACACACCCTAGTGAGACTACAACCATACTCACCATGAATCAACCAGCCACCACCCACCCCTCTGTTCTAAAAATGTGACTATGCAGAGACAGATGCTGGAAAAGAGATGATGAATTGTCGAATGCAGAGCTAGGCAGGGACCGTAGGAAATTTCCATGACCACAGGTCAGGGAGTCAGAATTAACACTCCATGTTCCACATTGTTCTGCTACTGCTGTGGAACTTTGGGCAAGTCACTTACCTGTTCCGTTCCTCAATAACCACAAAAATTCCTATCCTGCCTGCATTCCACTAATAATCAAAAGTGCGTATGGAGTTATTTTACCCAATATAAATTGTTCCATAATCATAGGAAAGCACTATAATTTCTAGTCAATTTCTGGGAAATATGCATGTGGAAAATCATCAGAATGAGGAATGAAAATGGACAAAGACATATGACCAGCTCCAGGTAAAATTAGCCAGCCCATCTCAAATAGATCTATATTGTACCAGAGATAATAATACTTCTAGCCTGAGGAGCTCTCAATTCATGTTACCACGTGTCCCTGCTTACTCATCCCAGTCCTCTCCCCATCACTTTTCGATCAGCACCTTCAGAAGCTGGAAGAACTCAAACTCACAGAGAGAAGGATTCTTGTTAAGTGTCATTAGGATATTGGGAGGTCAGTAAGTCACAGCCCTAAACATAATGACCTCATTTCTTTAGACAGCTCCTCTCGTTAAATCCCTGAGCATCTGCCTTTTAGCTTCCAAGTGCAAACTGTAAGCCAGCTGCACTGAAGGCTCAAAACTAACAATATGGGACACAGGCCTGCACTGGAATGAGAAGACCCAGGATGCATGACAGATTCCAGTTCCCAATACTGAATAGGAACGGAGTCCCAGATCCAGGAGAATCACAGGAGCAGGATTCCTCCTCCCACTGCCTTCTACTTCTGCCCCAGAGAACACAGTCCTTATATATATGTCTGACAGGCACAGGGAGAGGGCACACCTGGACCCAAGTGGGATAGGAGACCCAGGGACATTTGGAGAGTCACTCACCAGTATGGTAAACCACCTTCCTTCTGTCTGAAAGGCAACATACAGGAAATTAGGTGAACTAAGAACTAGAAAGTCTTCTCCAAAAAGGACACTGAGAGTTCAGAAGGGAGAGAAGAACTTACCCAGCTCTCTCTGGAGTTCTTCTGAAAGAGGGGGAGAAAAAAAGCATGAACTCTATCCTTAAGAAAAGAAAAGACTGTGCTGGAAAACCAGCACATGAAAAGACTCCCTCTGTATACTGTAGAAATTTCTCCTTCCAAACCCCTCCCAGCCCTCACAGCTCCAGTGCACCTATGGAGGTCTCCTGAGATTCATTTTCAGCAGAAGCCCTGTGTCTCCCTGGAGGGCCCTGCTACCAGCTCTGTTGCTGACTTCAGCTTTTCCTCACAACACCAGTTCTGTCCTTACCCAGTCTAGCACAGCTCCTCCCTCTCTTACCTGCCTCCTTCTTGACCAACTCCAAAGTCGTCTCTATTATCTCCTTACTGTTCTGAAAATGTTTGCAATTCTTCTGCTCTTGTAACTTTGCTGAATGTTCTTTCTTGAGAAAATAGCCAGCCCCTAAGCTGAGGAGCATCAGCAGGGTCAGGCTCACTGCAAAAACTGGCATCCAAGGAGAAAAAGCCTGAGGGAAAAAGGGCTCTGCAGCCCAGCCAGAGACACAGTCAGGGCACACTGCAGGCCAGCCCAGCCCAGCAAAATACAAGACCCTGTTCTCCTCTAGCCCGGAAGGGAGCAGAAACGGTGCTGACCTGGAATGAAAATCGCCTTCACCTTCTCCTGACCCAGGATGGGGTTAAAGATGGAGCAGGTCACGTTCCTTACAGAGCTGTCTCTCACCACCAGCGAGGCCTCCACACTGAACAGTCCCTCAGCATCTTGAGCATGGGCCTCAGAGAAAGCCAGGAACTTCTTTCTGCTCGGGTCTCTCCACTGAACCTGGGGCTTCGGAAACCACCCAGAGGCTGTGCACACCACGTGGATTCCATCTTCCTCTGGCCCTTCAATGTGCACTTGAGGGTCAGATCCCATACCTGCAGGAAGGAAGCTGTGAAGTCAGAGTGGCCATCTTGTCCCAGGTGCAGGCCTGGGATGCTGGAAGTGTGACTCATAGGGAGCCATTTCTTTTGCATTTTGAGATTCTCTGGGAAGGTCTGAGTACTGGTGTGGCACTGTACAATAAACACTAGACTACTAACACCAACGTCAGCAGTTCAAACCCACCAGATGCTCCTGGGAGACCATATACAGGGTTGCTATGGGTCAGAACAGACTCAAGAGCAATTAATAACAACAGTGTGGGAAGATCACACACCAGTGATGGTAGGGCTGTGGTTGAGAGCCCTGGTGTGGCGCTGTTGGTTAATGCACTGGGCTTCAAAGTTAGTTTGAACCACAAAGTTGGCTAAGAGTCGAAACTGACTCAAGGGCACTTAATAACAAAAACATGGGAAGATTACTCCCTAGTGATGGTAAGGCTCAGGTCTCACCAAATGGAACCTGGAAAAGAGCATAAGGACTCTACAGAGCTCTGAAGCTGGATATTAAGAGGATCTGGTGGCCCACTGGGATAAGCACTGGGTTGTTCAATGCAAGGTCAGAAATTCAAACCCACCTTAAAGATTTTCAGCCTAGAAAATTCCATGGATCTGTTCTACTCTATCCTATACGTCAAACTCAGCTCAGCTCAATGGGCGACTACTCTTTCTAACCACAGAAGTGGAAAGACTGAGGCACACAGAAAAAAAATTTTTTAAAAAAAGAGTAGAATCTTCACCACAAAAAAAAAAAAAAAAAAAAAACCATAATGGCAGCAATTAATCAATACCTATCAATAATTACACTGAATGTAAATGGATTGAATGCACCTGTTAAGAGATGGAGGGTGGTAGAATGGATAAGAAAACAAGATCCTTCAATATGCTGTCTGCAAGAGACACATCTCACACACAGAGACAGAAACAGATTAAAAGTCAAAGGATGGGAAAAAAATATACCAAGCCAATAGCAATAAAAAGCAAACAGGAGTGGCAATACTAATCTCTGATAAAATAAACTTTAAGGCAAAAAAGAGTAGAATCTTAAATTTCTTTTTTTGACATGCAGCCTAGGAACCATAAATGAATGGACAAAACTCAGACCAGACAAAAACAATAATGTAGCATCATTACAAAAACTTTCAAGGGCATAAATTCAGTAGGTCGTAGATTTTTTGGTAAATTTATGCTAGGAAATGTTTGAAATTAAGAGATTTGTGAATTTTCTTCTTTTATTTTGCTTCAATTACTCACAAACTCCTCTGTATCCAAACTGATCTTACTCTCATTTTCCTGTCACATCTCACAGAGTTAAAGGATATCTCCCTCACTCAAAGATGATTAATCCTCTGAGCACTGGAAATGACAGGCCACTGTCTCTTCTTCTTGGTCCCATCACTTATTACCTCCCTTCCCTCTCCTCTTCTTTGCTCACTCTCACCTCTTTCTTCCCACCCCATCCTTACTGTTAATCTCTTCCTCTCCATCTACTTCTTCTCCTGAATATATAAACAAATTCAAACTTTTACAGTCTTCTTCTCCCTCTCTTAGAACAGTAAAATTTATAATCCAAGAACACCTCTATGTTCTCATCTCTCACATACATCTCAATCCCCAATAGTCTGACTTCTCCTCTACTCTTGGCGTTAACAACAATCTCCTTCTTAGAATCTCAACCCTCACACTGCCGCACATCTTCCTCATCTTTATTCAGCATGTGACCTTGCTGACTCCATCTTAAACCAGCTCCATCTTGGTTTGGTCACCCTTCCCATTTGGTTGGTATATCACCCCCTCAGACCACTCTGCTAAGCCTCTTTCCTGGACTTCTCTTCCTCCCCCTACATGTTAAAAGAAGGCAAAGTACAAGAATTTGGTCCTTGAATCTCTATTCTCACATCACACTTCTCTTGTTCACTTCCAAAATTATGTCAAATAAGCAACTCTGTCTCCCAAATCTGTCTCCTTTGCATACACATCCCCATAAGTTACTTTATGAGGATTTCTGACATGCACTTCAAACTCGAAATTACATAACAGAATTCATCATTTTGCCCTGATGTGGTGCTGTTGGTTAATGCACTAGACTGCAAAGTTGGTTTAAACTGCAAGATCAGCAGTTCAAGCTTACCAACCACTCCCCAGAAACCCTAAACAGCATCACTATGGGTTGGAACCAACTCAACAGCACATAGCAACAACAACAACAAATGGTAGATTGAATACAAATATGGCCCTGGTTTTCATCCTTCTTTATAGCCAACTCACCCTTTGCTATATTACTTTGTAATGCTCTCCCATTATGACTTTTCGATAGGCCATGTGACTTGATTTGGCCAGTGAGAAATGAGCAAATGTAACACAAGAAAAGGTTTGTAATGTGCCATTGGACCCTCTGCTATTACCATGGGAGGGACATACACAGGCCAGCCTGCTGGAGGAGGAGACTCATGGACCATCAGCTTGTTACCCTAGCCTTTCCAGATGAAGGACCCTTATTCAGCCATTTGATTCCCATCATACGAAAACCCAGCCAAAGTGCACTTGGTTACCTCTAAATTTGACCAAAAATGTATGAAGGAGCACAGCTGAAATTAGCTACACCCAGCCCAGGTTAGCTGAATGCTATAATCGATTGTTATATAGCATTATTACAGTGATAGATACATAGATACACCATTATCAATGTTCCCACCAGTAAACTACAAACATCTAAGGCAAAACCCAGAGAATCTGTGACTCCCAGTTCTGCCTCCAAACCCTTGTGTCCCCAAATCTACTCACTCAGCTAAGTTTACCTTCTAAATCTCTCTGCTGTCTGACCCCTCATTTCCCACTCCACTGTCTGAGTTCACACAGTCATCCTGTCTACCTCATAACTACACTCCATGCATCCAGGTGTTGTCCCTGCCAGAGTGAACATTCCCAGTGCTGCTCTACTTAACATTTCCTCAGGTCTGCATCTGAACTCTGTAATACAGAACATAGGTGTTGTTTGTTGCTGTTAAGTGCCATCGAGTCATTCAGACTCATAGCCACCCTGTTTAGGGTTTCCAAGGAACAGCTGCTGAGTTGGAACTGCCAATTTTGCGGTCTAGTCTGCGTCCTACAGTGCCACATCAGGACTCCATAGAACACAGAGCCTTCTCTAATTCAGCATCTGCCTTCCTCCCCAAAGCCTTCTCTCAAATTCCCCCTGCCCCAACTCCCCCAACTTGTCCCCTCAGGTTCCACCTACTCTAGCACCAAGGGCTAACTGGTTCATTGTTATTAAGCACATTGTTTTTTGTGTGCCCCCAAACCTTTTCAAGGTCAGTTCCCTCAATCTGAAGGTGTTTTGGAAGCTTGCCTAATGAATTCAAGTGACATTTCAGTATCTGTGCCCCTCTGCAATCTACACCAGGGAACACCATTTTGTCCAGTACTGACCCTCATTCACTCCCACCAGTCACAAGGCCTCACTGTGAACCCAGAACACAAGAGCCACACTCCCACCTCAGAGTTTTTACTAGCTCTTCTTTCTGCTTGGAATTCTCATCTCTTACATATTCATTTCACTAAATCACTGCTTTCTTCAAGCCTTTGCTCAGACACCACATTCTCAGTAAGGCCCAGCCCAGTCCCAATTCCTCAGTCCTCACCCCCATATTCTGATCCCATATCCCTGTTCTACTTTCCCTTTTGTCCTCAGAACTGTTTACCTTCTAATATCATCTATCACCTATTTATTTATTGTGATTTCTCTGTCTCTGCATTTAGAATATGAACTCTACACAACAAGGATCACTTTTGGTTCACTGATATGTCCCAGGCACCTACAACAAGCTCTGGCACACATTGTTGTTGTTGTTGTTAAGTGTTATCGAGTCAGTTCCAATTCATAGCAACCCTGTATAGGAGGTCTGAGGAGAGGTTGGTGAGTTTGACCTACCGCTCACCTTGCTATTCAAACAACCTTGTAGTCCAGTGCATTATCCCACAGCACCACACAGATTCAGAGCTCGCTATCATTTACAGTGAATAAAAGAATGAATGAGTCTCCTTCTACAACTATTAAATGAGGGACTTAATTAAATTATCCCTAAGGATGTTCCAAACTCCAACCCTCCAGGATTCTGCAATATATAGACAAATAACCAACCTGCCACCTTCACTTCCAAAGAGGCCTCTTCGTAGTTATCTCCATTCTTGAAGAAGCACGTGTACATCCCATTGTCAGAAACCCGAACCTTGTTGATGCGTACAGCAGCCTCCCCCTGAGTGAGGAAGTCTCTCACCAGCGAGGTCTGCCCTTTGTACTGTGGCATCTGCTTCTCCTTCTGCTCCCGCTGATTCTGATAAATGAACACTGCTTCTGGGAAGATGGACCGGAACCACCGCAGCTCCATGTTCTCCGCATTCATGCCAGGGAACAGGGAGCAGGGCAGTGTGATGGCCCCACCCAGCCTTGGGGCCAATCACCAGGAACTTCTCTGTGGATACAGACATGGGAATGAGAAAGCTGGAGAGATGCAAGGTGATGAGAGAAAACATAGTCAACTTGGGAGGACCCCTTGCTCCTAAATAAGCTGTGTGAACTCTGAGTGGGGTGAGATGTTGTGATCACAGCATCATGGCCCAGAAATGATGTCATGTGCCTGGGAGTCGTGTACCTGGGCTCCTGGTCACAGGTCCTTCCATGAAAGACCCTACATCTCCATGGTACTCAAGTTTAAATGTGGGTTTAAGCCTTTCAGATAGCAGTTGAGCATTTTACCCACGGCACCAACGCAACTTGTTCAGAATCAACCAGTAAAACCCCTAAAGATTTTGATTCAGTAGGTCTAAGAGAGGCAAAAAATGTGTATTTCTCAGGAGTTCCCAGGGTTTTGGTAAGACAGTGGTAGAATTCTAGCTTCCTTTGAAGACAAAGCAGCTTTTGGCTCATTGTTTATGGGGTCACTATTAGTGAAAGCCAACCTGTTGGAAGTTAACAAGCAGAACAAAGAGTTACAGAGATGCAGATATGCTGGTCCAGGGACCACACTTTGAGAACCACAGCCCCTGCCTGGCCCCATCTCTGGACTGAATGGAAAACTGACCTAAGACCACCAGAGATATAGGTCTGAACTCTGATCATTTAATAAAACCCAGGATATGTCCCATCCCCATTCTTAACTTTCATTAGGTGTGCCCATATCTTTCTTTTGCACTGAAAAATATGCACTTAAGTCTCAGGGTCCAATGATATTTCTGCCCTCACTCTCCAGGCTCCCAAGAACAACATTCACACCTTGTTAAAGAAAAAGGAATGTATCGCCCTTGTCCTTCTGAAGTGGGCAAGGTGTACCATGACTCGTCTTCAGACCAGCTCCCTCTAGATTCCCAAGTGTCATCTTTCCTACTCCTAGACTCTTGCCTAGCCATTGTTTCCCATCTGGAGGACCACAGCAGACTGGTTTCCCTGTTTGCCCTCATCCCACCTGTCTATTTCCTACAAAGTGATCCTTTTAATGTGTAAGCCAAAACTGTCGGGGTCCCATTCTGCTCAAAGCTATGAAATAGCTCCCCATTTCCCTCTAGCGACCCACAGGTCCTATATGGATGGTCCCCAGGACAATTCTAACCTTGGTCTCTTCACTCTCTCTTCTCCAAACAACACTCACTTCTTTGACTTCACTAGGCACATTGTCAGCCTTGCATTGGCTGACAGCTCCTGCAAAAACAGGGACTTTCTCCAGAGATCCTTACGCTCACTTCCCTTCTCCCCCAACTCTTAGTTAACCATCCTATAGAGCACTGCAGCCTGCACACACCCCACTTCCCCTCTGCCCACCAACACTGTTCATACTTGCTGTACTAATCTCCTCTAACAGACTATATTTTTCTAGGTTTATTGCATTTAATATTCACTGACTCCTGCTAGAATGTTAATTAGTTAAGTGCCACTGACTTGGTTGCATGGGTGTGAACAACAGTTAGCAGTCCAGTGTCACACCAGGAATCCTGCTAGAACGTTGTTATTTTCTTAAATGCCGTTCAGTTGGTTCTGACTCATAACTACCCTATGTTCAACAGAGCAAAACACTGCCTGGTCCTGCCACATCCTCACAACTTCTGCCAGGCTTGAGTCCATTGTTGTTACCACTTGCCAATCTATCTTGGAGTCGGGAGTCCCCCTATCCTTTGCTGTCCCTCACACTTTAGTAAGCCTGATGTCCTTCTCCAAGGACTGGTCCCTCCTGATAATATGTTCAAAATATGAGAAACAAAGTCTGGCCATCCTGGCTTCCAGGAAGCATTCTGGTTATATCTCTTCCAAAACAGATTGGTTTGTTCTTTTGGCAGTCCATGGTACTTTTAATATGTTCCTCCAACACTATAACTCAAATGCGTCGATTCTTCTGCAGTTTTCTTTATTCAGTGTCCAACTTTCACATGCATATGAGCTTATTGAAAATACCATGGCTTGCGTCAGACACACCTTAGTCCTCAAACTGACATTTTTGCTCTTCAACACTTAAAAGAGATCTTGTGCAACATATTTGCCTAATGCAATACATCATTTGATTTCTTGACTGCTACCTCCATGGATCAAGTAAAATGAAGTCTTTGACAACTTAATCATCTCTCAGTTCATCATGATGTTATTTATTGGTCCAGTGGTGAGGATTTTTGTTTTCTTTACATTGAGGTGCAGCCCACACTGAAGGCTCTGGTCTATGAAAGTATTTTAAGTCCTCTTTGTTTTCAGCAAGCAAAGTTGCATCATCTGCATGTCGCAGATTGTTAATGAGTCTGCCTCCAAATCTAATGCCACGTTCTCTTCATATAATCCAACATCTCAGATTATTTGTTTAGCATACAAATTTAATTAGTATGGTGAAAGAATATAATCCTAGCACACACATTTCCTTATTTTGAACCATTCAGTGCCCCCTTGTTCTATTCGAAGGACTTCCTCTTGGACTATGTACAGGTCCCTCATGAGTACCATTAAGTGCTCCACAATACTCATTATCCACAATGTTGTCCATAGCTTGTCATGGCCCACACAGTCAAAGGCCTTGGTGTAGTCAATAAAGCACTGGTAAACATGTTTCTGGTAGTCTGTGTTTTCAACCAATACCCATCTGATGGTAGCAATGATATCTCTCATTCCACACCCTCTTCTGAAGCATTTTGAACCTCTGGTGGTTCCCTGTGAATGTACTCTAAAGTCATTTTTTTATTATCTTTACAAAAATTTGCTTGTGTGTGATATTAATGATATTGTCTGATAATTTCTACAATCCAATTGGTCACCTCTCTTTCCATTCAGTTGGTCAGGCAGCTGTCTTCCGAATTTCTTGGCATAAATAAGTCCCATGCTGCATCACTTTCTTGAAAGACTTGTAATCCATCAATTCCCAGAGCATTATTCTTTGCCAATGCCTTCAGTTACTTTGGGCTTCTTTCTTCAGTGCTATTGACTCTTGTTATATGCTATCTATTGAAGCAGTTGAACATTGATAATTTCTTTTTGGTGCAGTGAATCTGTATTCCTTCCATCTTCTTTTGATGCTTTTTATGAATCATTCAATATTTTGCCCAAAGAATTCTTCAGAATTTCAAGTTGAGGCTTTAATTTTTCCTCAGTTCTTTCAGCTTGAGAAATGCTGATCTTGCTCTTCCCTTTTGATTTTCTAACTCGACATCTCTGCACATTTCATTATAATATTTGACTTTGTCTCCTCAAGCTTACCTTTGAAATGTTCTGCTCAGCTCTTTTACCTCCTCATTTCTTCCATTTGCTTTATAGCGTCTCTATGCTGGAGAACAAGTTTCAGAGTCTCTTCAGGCATCCAGTTTGGTCTTTTTCTTTTCTCTTGCCTTCTTAATGACATTTGCTTTTTTCCACTATGATGTTTTAGATGTCATCCCACAACTCATAGGTTTTGGTTATTAGTGTCTAGTGCACAAATCTGTTCTTCAGATGATCTTTAAATTCAGGTGGGACATATTCAAGGTTATATTTTCACTCTCATGGACTTGTTTTAATTTTCTTCACCTTCAGCCTGAATTTGCCTATGAACAGTTAATGCACCTGACCTTGTTTTGGCTGATGATATGGAGCTTTACCACCATATCTTTCCACAGATGTAGGAAGTTTGATTTCTGTGAACTCCATCTGGTGAAGTCCATGTGTATTCTCATCTTATATGTTGTTTAAAAAAGGTATTTGTAATGAAGAAGTCATTGGTCCTGAAAAATTCTACCATGTGATCTGCATCATCATTTCTATCAGCAAGGCCATATTTTACAAATACTAATCCTTCTTCTTAGGAGCTCTGGTAGCGTAGTGGTTACGAATCGGGCTGCGAACCTTAGGGTCAGCGGTTCGAAACTACCAGCCGCTCCGCGGGAGAAAGATGAGGCTTTCTACTCCCGTAAAGATTTACACCCTCGGAAACCCTGTA